ATAACGCATAGGTACTACAATTCAATGACTGATTCTAATCGTGCGTATGCATTTTGGACATTTTGTAAACACCGAGAATATCTTTAATCGTTTTTTTGCTTGCTAAAAACTTAACAATATGTTTCACTGTGACATTATTTATTARACAAATTATTTTTGTTTTAAACACTTGCAACTGCTTTAACGAATCGATTTGAACTTTTCGTATGGATACATTATTTATTTTTTGTATTCTTCAAGATGATATTGGGACCCACTGAATATGTTCGTGATCATTACATATTTACATGTTACATTTATATATAAAAAAAATAAATATTAATTGAATCCGTATACCTAATTTATAAACTATATATATATACTAAAATAATTAGTAATATTATTTATCAATAATATAGTATTTCGTAGATACCTATATGTTATAACATAAGTTTAGTGTGTACGATCATCGGCTATTATTATTATGTTTGTATCGTATGTGGGTGGTATTGGACCGATTTTTTCCGTCAATCCAACCCAAAAGAGTGCATTTGAGACGCATGGATATCCATGGATTCTATATATTATATATGTATATTGTATATTTATATGTATACATACATAATGTACGCCAAATGTTATGCATCACTTCGGTTCCTTTCAGATTGTCAAAAACCTCTTTTTTCAACACTCACTACCCTAMACGCCACAATATTTATACGTTTCGTATATTCAAGCATTTGATATATTAATACCAAACGAATACATTATATTCGATAGCTTATGCTGTCATTGTATATTATATTTCTATTATATAATATATTATTTAATACAATATATATAGAACAATATAGGTACTGCTATAACTATATAGGTATCTAGTTATTAGTCATTACTCATTACGATTTCGATCTATACATATATGTTATAATAGATATATACAATATCAAAATTTCAAAATATAACACTGTGGTACAGTCACCGGTRTTTACTCCCGAAAAATTGGGCAGATATAGGTTTTTGTCCAGATTATGCGAAATTAAGGAAAATCAAACGAAATTCCAATTATTAATCTATGTGTTTTAGCGATAAAATTTGATTAGGTCCTAAAATTTTTGCCTATATACAATATGCTTWTTAAAAACTATAATATTTGAATTTGAATTTTCAGTGCACAATACATTGTGTGTTCAATCAACTGGAAATGGTTAGTAATTTTTATTTTTAAATAAATTCAGTTARGTAAAAAAATTTTAAAAATTACTTATAGATATTCATACTTGTATTGAATGTTTGATTGAAATTTAAAATCAATATTAAAATTTTATTTTAATTGTTCAATATTAATACTAAATAAAACACGTAATATGATTTCGTGTGGAAATCAAACATTAATATTTATGACCGACAAAGCGTATTATAAAGAAAGTTTATTATTTTTTACACTCGAACGAATACAATCCGTTATACCAAATACTATAGATAATCTTAGTATTTGGTTTTACTACCTATATTTATTACACAATATATTAATTTAGAAATTATGTTTATACTTTTCGGACAGCTGAATTCTAACTCTCGTCCAGATAAACATTCAATAGTTACTATCATGACCAATCATATAAGAGACGTCGAACTGAAAGAATTCATCCAGGACTCTATAGACGAATGCTTCGACACCCTCGAACTGGGTGAGTAACTTTGGAAACTGTTACGGAATAAAATTTTATGAACATAAATTAATTCGTCATCGCCATTGATTTCATTTACACAGACTCACATAATAACAAATGCGAATTTTCAAAAAATTTCGCATTGTGCATGGAGAATAAAGCTCAAAGGGTAAATATTTTAAAACAATTACAGTTTATATACAGCTTATAATGCAAATATAGGTCATCCAGCGAGTAATATATATATAATATACATGCCTACTTTATTTTATGTCACTGCAGAATTGTGACGATTGGGATGAAAACTTGTCCGTGAACAAAATCAACTCTGCCAGCTTCCAAGATGGAACCAACCAGCAAGACAAAAGAAAAGGATATTAAAAAAGTTTGTTCGTAGAATAAATATTAATGTGATTGATTGAGTTATTTCAACTATTTATTAAACGTTTAAAAGTCGTCATTATTCTATATTGTATTGTATATAATATTATATATATCGTAACAAAACGAATTTCCTTCGAAGCCGAACGATTGGCGCGCTACACAGTCGTGATTTTCTCGCTTTCCGGCAGCCGCACTAGCCGGCGGGTGAGTAGCGCCGTTTATATTACGCAAATAGTAATACGCTTAATGAAATACTTTGAAGTACCCTAGTTTCTTATCATATTTGCMATTTTTATCAAAAATATTTTTATACTCATAACAATTTAACAATCATAATACTCGTGATACATTTATTTCGCAGTTTTTGTCGCATTCAGTCTTGTGCCTAACTGATATTAATTCTTGGATCATATTAATATAATATAATACGCGGTGGCGTGTAGTGGGCTTATGTTACAAGTCGATAGTCATTAGTCATTACTCTGTAGTCTATATATCTTACCTACAATAAAACTAAATTTAAGAGTTAGGTATTTCAATACCATATCTAATATTTGGTACATTTTCATGTTTAAAAATCGTTAACAAGTTATAGCTGTAGTTAACATATTAAGGAATTGTTTCATTGACATTTGTCGTTTCCATCTAACAATTGCGTAACACAGAAAATTGTACATTCAACAGATCACGTTTAACCCCGTAAATTTAAAAATTAGAGTGAATTGAACTCTACATGTTAAGGTAAGATTATTATCTAGACAATTTCATACAATTTTTATAAAATTTGAACTTTAAAGCTAATTATTAGTATTTTAAAATTTGCTATGTTACGCACTTGCAAGACGAAGACAACAAAATATCACTTATTATATAATTATTTAAATATTGTA